AATATATGTAATTATAATATAAGATTAAAAAAACATAAAGGGATATAATAAAAAAATATATAAAAAATTGAAAGGTTAAAACTAAAAATATTAAGGGTTAAAATTGAAAAATAAAATAAACTTATTATAATGTATTTGAGTGTTTTAGTAGGAGGGGTATAGAAAATCTAGGGTCAAATACATAAAGGGGGTTTCTATATTTTATTAGGATTAATCGAGTGTGCTTTTAGTAGGACCTCCGGCCGTTTATATCTACATGGAAAAGAGAGCATTGAATATGAGGCCGTAGTTGAGTTGAGGAAGAGTGATTTTGAGCATTCATCACAGTCAATAGTTAATATTTTGTAACACAATTGCTTTAAGTAAATCTCGTTACCATTTATTTACAGGACAATCGTATTGAGAGATGGATGAAGAGAAGGAATCAGCCAGTATCTGTGTGCTGCCGGAAGGTTGCTTGTCGGAGGCATTATCACTAACTTCACCTCGGGATGCGTGCAGAGCTGCCGCCATTTCCTACGGATTCAAGTCGGCGGCAGATTCCGACGCCGTATGGGAGAGGCTTCTGCCACCGGATTACTTTCAAGTCATTGCGAGGGCGGTTTCTCCGGTGGTTTTTGGCTCTAAAAAGCAACTCTACCTCTGCTTATCGGAGTCGCATATCCTCCTGGATCGTGGCTATTTGGTAAATCCATCATCCTTAATTGCTATATATTGTTTTCTTCCTCTCGATCTCTATGTGGCTGATTGTATGAAATTACTGACGATTCCCTCTATGAACTGCTCCAACACGTTGAGTCTCTTTGTTTTACCACCTGAATGCTGAATCTTATTGGATAAAAAAAATCTACCCTCTTAATGATTTTGAATTTTGGAGCACCCTAATTTCATTCTACTCAATTACTAACAACCATATTTCATTTTACAAGAATCTCTTAATCATTTTCACCACAATCTTCTACCAAATCATTATACAGGTAGGTAGAAAGATGTTGGATGAGTATTTTTTTTTTCAAAAGTGTGGTTATAAATGTGTTCGATTTACACCGAGAGCAAAGAAGCAAGAGACCGAGACCGAAAGTTCTCGAGCAATTGAATGAGATAACTTTTAATAACTCATGGTGAATATCAGTTTCAATCTCACCTTGAGGGATGGGGAGAAGACATAGAGGTATGAGAGGGTAAAGGCATGAGTAAAATGTGTCAAAAGTATCTTGGGAACATGGAAAAAAAAAGTTGATAATGTGCATTGGTAACTTGTACTGTATGTTATTTTAATTGTAGATTAAAAAATTTTAAGACTGAATGTATAAAGTAGTAGTACTTAATGCATTATGAGTTGTTTTTAAGACTTTGTGCATAAATGTATAATACTTTACGCATCAAAAATTGTTTTTAAGACTTTTGATAAATCTGATTTATAAGGTAGTATAGATAAGTGTGAGTTGATATAAAAAGCAGTTACGTTGGCTAAGATTTGTTGATGTAAACAGAGCTTCAAGCTAGACAAATGGAGCGGGAAAAAGTGGTATATGTTGGGAGCAAGGGAGCTATCAATTACATGGCAACATGATCCCTCTTATTGGCAATGGCAATCTATACCCGAATCAAGGTCTCTCACTTTTACACATACACATAAATTATATATATATATATATATAGAGAGAGAGAGAGAGAGAGAGAGATAGAGATGGAGATAGAGGATCAAACGAAAACATGGTCAAAATAAGAAAATATATACCGAAATCACATATAACTAAGGAAGACAATCAACACAAGATTGAGCGAGGGACTTGGCCCACAACACGGTCATAGTTGTTTGAATCACATGTGATTTTACATGCAATTTTGGTCATTCTTGTGTTCTCTTATTTGGTTATTGCTCTCGTTTAAACATGTTTATAGATATATATATATATATACATAAAGAGAGAGAGAGAGAGAGGGGGAAGGTTCAAACGAGAACACTAATTATTAAAGGAAACAAGAAAAAGGTTGTTAATGTACAAAATCACATGTGATTTTACATGCAATTTTGGTCATTCTTGTGTTCTCTTATTTGGTTATTGCTCTCGTTTAAACATGTTTATAGATATATATATATATATACATAAAGAGAGAGAGAGAGAGAGGGGGAAGGTTCAAACGAGAACACTAATTATTAAAGGAAACAAGAAAAAGGTTGTTAATGTACAAAATCACATGTGATTTTACATGCAATTTTGGTCATTCTTGTGTTCTCTTATTTGGTTATTGCTCTCGTTTAAACATGTTTATAGATATATATATATATATACATAAAGAGAGAGAGAGAGAGAGGGGGAAGGTTCAAACGAGAACACTAATTATTAAAGGAAACAAGAAAAAGGTTGTTAATGTACAAAATCACATGTGATTTTACATGCAATTTTGGTCATTCTTGTGTTCTCTTATTTGGTTATTGCTCTCGTTTAAACATGTTTATAGATATATATATATATATACATAAAGAGAGAGAGAGAGAGAGGGGGAAGGTTCAAACGAGAACACTAATTATTAAAGGAAACAAGAAAAAGGTTGTTAATGTACAAAATCACATGTGATTTTACATTAAATGGAAGCGGACAACTTTTGAGGCCACTTAAGTCGCATGGCAAAGTCGTCCGGATCATGTATGATTTGTTACGTGAATCATATATGGTTTTGTACATTAACGACATTTTTCTTGTTTCCTTAAATAGTTAGCGTCCTCGTTTGAACCTATATATATATATATATATA